TAACACCGTCGGCCAGAACATTTTATTACAGCTATTATTAAATGGAGAGTCCTCTTCACACACTGAGGTTAATTATGAAGCTCCACAGGCTTCTGTGCAAAGACCAGTTCTGTTTACATTATATGTGCTTTAGAAGACATAGCATACCACAGGTCAGCTCAGCAACATTTCGACTTTGGCTTGTTTTTTCTGGTTAACGTTAATTACGTAATTTAGAATTAAAGTTTAGTGTTTTTAACATTTAGGATGGCCGTGGCGAGTAACTCAAGTGCTGTAAACATTTCATGAAACCTCATCAAAAGTTATCTGAGTTGGAAGGGTGGCTGTTAATAAGCCATTCTTAAGGAAGGAGAACAGAGAAAAATAAGGCTGAGGTGTGCCAAATTACACAAGAAATTGACTGGAAAAAGAAATCAGCTGTAATATGTCTTATGGAGTAATGAATCCAAATTTGAAATATGCATGGAAGAGGTCCGAAGAGAGATACAACAGTGAATGTCTATAGCCGTCTTTAACACAGCGTGGATACTCTACCGTGCTTTGAGGCTGGATTTCAGCCAGTGTTGTTGGAGCTCTTATCCAAATTAATCAAATTATGAATGTAGAAAAGTTCCACCAGATTTTGATCGACCATGTAATACCACGTAGTGTCTGATTGGCTTCAACTTCATTTTTCAGTACGACAATGATCGCAAACATACTGCCAATGTAGTCAAAGTATGCCTGGATGAAACAACGCATCAGTCATGGATTGATCTCTCCAGGGTTCGAACCTCAAGATAATCGAAGCAGTGTGGGATCATCTTGACAGAAAACAAAACAAAAGGCAGCCAGCATCCAAAGAAGAGTCTCGGATGTCTTTCAAGAAGCCTGCAGAACTAAGAAATTACAAGAAAGCTTACCTATTAGAGTTTAAGCTGTGTTGAAGAATGAAAGGCAGCTTTAACTGGACAAAAGGGGGAAAAAATCCCACATTGACAGCTAACTCAAGAGACAAAAAGCATTAGAACTCAAGTCATTACCTTACTTAAGGATAAATAAGTTAATTAATTACATTAATGCATAAGCAGAAAATAACCTACAGTAACTGCTTTGCGATATGGAAGTGCAAAAGACAACTGAAAGGGAGGATAGTTTCTATATATGTGGTTTCTATTAAGGGACAGAGGAACGATAAGAAACGATAAGAAATCAAGGACAAGGAGTGTGGTGTAGATAAGTGAGGAAATCCGATCATTACTACAAATTTAGTTGAAATTTAAATATTTTAACTATGGTGTGTGAGGTGGGCCCCTGGGTGCCTCCTGTGAGGGCTGTCTGTTTTCCACATTCTGCAACGGTAAAATACGACTTAGAGGCAGATATTTGTTTTACTTTATGGGCAACAGTTGTTCTTGCTGTTGACAAAACTCGCCTCATGGTTGACTCTGAGAAAAAAACTCTTTCCCACAGAGGGGAATAAACTTATTCGAATATGAGCTTTTTTTCCACTAAGACTTGTTTTATGGGGAGATGTACGAAATTATTTACCGGGTTACAAGCAATGATAATATCGGACTCCTCAGCGTCATCATTTTCTATCTATTGAGAAAACTTATTGTTAAAGTATTGAAGAAAAAAACTCCTCCTTGGCCCGCGGTGTGTGTGTGTGTGTGTGTGTGTGTGTGTGTGTGTGTGTGTGTGTGTGTGTGTGTGTGAAACAAGATCGCCTGTCGCTGCAATTATGGTTTGTTTTTCAGTCTCTCAAAAGGAAAAGTAGTATTCACTAAGGGATATTTACTCGTTTTTTACACATAGGCAGCCTGTAGGTTACATGGTTTGTTTTTCAGTCTCTCAAAAGGAAAAGTAGTATTCACTAAGGGATATTTATTCGTTTTTTTTTACACATAGGCAGCCTGTAGGTTACAAGCGGATAGAAAGTTCTTCTTTTCATCACAAGCTATGGTGTATCTTAAAGGTTTTTTACAGCGTCTGTATTATAGGAAAATAAAATACTATTGAAATCTCTACAGGAAGTCACTCTTTATTTCCATTACAAACGCCGGTGCAGCTTAAGAAAGTAAAATTACATCCGCTCTGTCTCTCTATACATCACAGAATCATCTGCTGCATCACCGCTGTGCTTAGGGAACATGACGCATCAGGTCTGAAAATGACTAGACACTTCCGGAGTATTTCCGGTAGGGTCATAAGGTCCGGATCGAGGCCTTCCATAGTAAATATGCTGTATTTGAATATGTCATATTCAAAGCCTTCTTCTTTGGGAGAGCAGATCTCATCGGACACAGGAACGCTGCTGGGCTGCAGAAGGAAATCCATCTTGTGTCTGTGCCTTAGAAATTGTGACGGACTCCACCTCTCTGCTTTTTTATTCCCCTCCAACAGATGGCGCGCTTCCGGAGGTTTCCCCCTCCCTCTAAAAACTTTTTTTCCCAACAACAGATGACGCGCTTCCGGAGGTTTCCCCCCTCCCTTCTCAGGATGCAATTCGACACGGTTAGCAACAGATGGCGCGCTTCCGGGGTTCACCCCCCTTCTCAGGATGCAATTCGACACGCGGGGGGTTTCCCACCCCCCTTCTCCGGATGCGATTCGTCACGCTCATTACACGCTTCCGGGGGGGAGGGGCGGGAGGTCAAAAGGTCGTGATTAGGGCCATCAATCACTTCGGATCAAATTTTGTCATAAGCTGTATGGGATTATCTCTCTAATATAACATACAACCAAAGCAAGTTAAGACAGAGTCCTACTGGCTTGGAGCTTTTTCACAGAAACAACAAGTACTACCTGTTCAGGCTCAGGTGTTCTGATTGTCACTGCTACCTCACTGCACAGACTGGTGGGTTGTTACTTACTGAAGATTTATGACTAGCCTTGAAATGACACTTTAAACTATTTCCCTGTAAGCATCACAGTTACAACATCAGACTCACACACACAACAGTTGTTGTCTCTGTGTGTGTCTGTGTACAAATCTGTATGTGCTCAGTGCAGTGTCCAACAACTAAAGGTCAAATATTTTTGTGCAAAATAAAAAGAAGTATAAGTAAAGACAACGCTGAGAAACCTGAAATGAAAATCATCAATTCAGGAAATATTAGTCAGACTAACAGGTCACACGAAGGCAGTTATCAGGCCAATTACTCAACCAACGGTTTCCAGTTCTAGCTATGAGTGTTCACATGGGTATTGATGACAGTGTATGACGAATAAAACAGTGAAATACCGGAAATAAATTATTTGCACAATAAATCATATCTCTTAGAGAAGATTTAGGTTTAGATTTATTTGTAAAACTCATTATGTGTTTAAATGGGGCACATTTATTGCAAATGCAAATTCTTCTATTCATGAACAGAGGCCAACTGGCACCAGGATGTAAAGATGTTATTGTACAAACTGCATTTAGATACATTTCGGAAACTGGCCTCCTAAAGTAAGGAATTTAATGAAATAAACATAAAAAATATATAAATAAATTCCATCCATCCATCCATTCGCTTCCGCTTATCCTTTTCAGGGTCGCGGGGGGCGCTGGAGCCTATCCCAGCTGTCATAGGGCGAGAGGCAGGGTACACCCTGGACAGGTCGCCAGTCTGTCGCAGGGCCAATATAAATAAATTAAATTTTAATTTTACAAGTTGTCTTTTCTGCTATTACTTCTTGGCTCAAGTACTCATCATATAAACATCATCATTCGAAATTCATGTTAGCTTAAGTTTTCATATAGTCAAACCACAGATTTCCAAACACACACATACTACTGTTCAATCTTCCATGGTCTAGCAGGACAAGCACAGAGATGGGTCTGCTGCCAGAGGCCACAAGAAGATCATTTGTAACCTTTACTAAAAGTGTTTCTGTACGTTGATGAGCTCTGAAACCTGACTGAAACTATATACATATTTACATTCTGACACCAATTTTTCTCACAATGTTGCAGGAAATCAAACAAAATGGCAGACCACCACCAAATATGAACTCTGCAAATATTAGTCTCTTACTAAAACCAGGCAAAGACAAGCTATCGTCCAATATCCCTTATTAGTGTAGACCTTAAAATAATCTGCAAAGTTCTCTCAAAGAGATTACAGAAAATAACCCCCCTTTTAATTCATCCTGACCAAACTGGTTTCACAAAAGGTAGGCACTCATCAACAAATACACGTAGACTACTTAATTTAATAGACTACTCGTGCAGTAAAAATATTGAAACCATAATATTGTCTCTTGATGCAGAAAAGGTGTTTGACAGAGTTAACTGGAAATTTTTATTTGCAACTTTACATAAATTTGGTTTTGGAAACTCTTTTGTAAGCTTGTTAAAAGATGCCCCTGAGACAATCCAGCACATAACAGCAGGGTGCAAGATGCTAGCAGGGAAGGCATACATGGAACGCCATAACCATAGTGTACAGAGGACCCGGTAGAGGACCCGAGCTTGAAGGATTGACCGCCCACAGGGGCGAGAGGGAATTTATTTTTATATATATATATATATATATATATATATATGAATTATAATAGTTCACAATGTTTTAAGTGTGTAAATAAAATTTCTAACAACAACTTAAAATTGCACAACTTTCTCCCAAGGTTTTCTTGGAGTACTGATAATGATTAAAGCAGAGATATTAGACTACACGAGTTGTGAGTTGCTACCAAAGATAAAGGATTGACGCTCATGTAATTGTTATTGCTGTCTATGCACACATAGCGCAGATTGTAACTGATTTTAGACCAGTAAAAGTTGAGCCAGTGGCAGCTTGTCTGGCACACTGCTCTACTATTAGTTTACTGTGAAAGTCTCCAGTAACTGTTAATGGAGTCTGCCCACAAAATGGAGATAGCTACAGTTTCTTATGACCATGAGATAAGCTGCGCTTTCAGCGACTGCAGCTACCAATGTCAAATAATGTAAAAGATGGATGCAAATAGCTTCATGACAGCACTGATGAAAGGACAGAACGCTTTACTTTGGTACATTGTAATTTATGTTTATTTCTTATTTCTAGATTTGATGAGGCAAACACTGCATTTGAAAATGCAAAGAAGAGAAGATTCCACCATTCTAGAAAGACTGATGTGATTTATCTCTATGGGTCTAAAGAGAGGTGGCCAACTTTAAAAGTTAAGACAAACACTGCAGTCAAAGATGTCTAGTTCAAGCGCTGGTACAAGCAGCTTTACTGGCTATACAAAACATGAAAATGAATTAACAAAGAAAAACATCCACTGGTCTTACCAAGAATTCAGTTAAGAAACAAAGGGATGTTGCAGCACAGTTTGGGGAAAACATCAAAGGTCACAAAATGAAGTTTGAAAATAACAGACAGTGGCTGCAGTCACACTTTTCACTGTTTTTAAACACTCAGTTTCACTTCAGCTCTTTGATTGTTATAACTTTGCTCTCCTTGCAGCCAAAATAACATGAGCATAACAAAACCTAATTACAAAAGTAAACAAGATTACTTGCATTACTATACTGGTGTCATTTATTGTATGAACCAATTCTCAGTCAAGATGCAAAAAGTAATTATTATATCCAATGCTGCAGGTACAGTCATGTAACACAGACATGAAACAAAGAAAATCCCAGAAAGTTCAGTGAAAGTATTACATGGTTATTTCAGGATGATTAATGTGGATTGGCCCGTGCCCGGGGCTGCACAGCATCAATGCGTTTGCGCGGTTAGCTCGTTAATGCGTCAGTGCACAGGGCGATCCACGTTAACTTGCTGAAGGAGATTTGCTGCCTTAATGTGGTTATGGCGTTAATGTCATTTTAACGAGATTAACACTGACAGCACTAATTAAAATTTAAGAAATGTTCTATTTAATTTGGAAGGTCAACAATTTGGAGTAAATGATTCTGGCATGTAGTGTGAAAGAAGCCGCTACATTCGCTTTTCAAATGGGATACAATGCAAGATTGAAATAAATGTCATGAAAAGATTAATTTAATGAACTGAAGTTTCACTGCGGAGAACTAAAATGACTTTTTTTAGTCTGCAGTTGTGTTCAGTTCATTTTTACTGGATCATGGGGTGATCATTCCAGGGAGGCAGCTGGGACAATTTTTCCTCAGTGGCTGTTTTGATGGGCCAGCCCCAGGCCTTGAAGAAGCCGGTCAGGTTCATCCCCACAGTCTGCGAGAAAGTCTCAGCATACAGGTTCATCTTTGTGTCATTGTCATCAGGAAAGTCTCTCATGTGGTGGTACGCAGCAAAAACCTTCTTAAAGGCATCCCAGCCAAACTTTTCCTGGAGCTACAGAGAAGGTAATTATAACAACAAGCCAAACTATTAGCTGTCTTTTATGTTAGGAGCAATAATCTCTTGACCAAAGCATCAGAACCTGTTACCATTTAATGTTAGCTTCACTATAAGTCTGCAAGTCTATATGGACTTTCAGTCTTATTCATACAGAGGTGGGTCGAGTATACTTTAAAAGCAAAGTTTTTTCAAAAACTTGCTCAAGTAAATGTAACTAGTTACTACCCACCTCTGTATTCATATCAAGTGTTTTCTTTACTATGGATCAAGCAAAATTTCTCTATAATTTCTCACCTGCAGATATGTTTCCAGGGCAACCCACACACTCCAGTCACTGAGTTTCCTTCCTCCCTTGATGTACTCCTCTACTCGACTCTTTCATTTAGCTAAAGTCAAATCACCATGAGCCTGCACGAAAGAACATGGAATGAGATAGTTGCTAAATCATGTGATCACAGCAAACTCAGTCATGAGTTTTCTGATGATGATTGATGTAAAACAAAGAAGAGTTTTAAATCTATTTATGTTATGTAGTTATGAAATCATGTGATCACAGCGAAAAAGGTATGTGATGTGCTGTGATAGGATACAAAAAGAGTTTTCTTGATGTTGACTAATATAAAACAAATGAGACTGTCAAAAACACTTGATTTGCTCTACCTGTGCTCTGTTGATGCCCAGCACCTCTTCATTCACATACACTGACCACAGGTTGCATGTACACTCTGTGGTGTGTGGTCGGAACTCCCAGCAGCTTCTCTGTTGGTTGTGTCCAAGTTCATGGATGGGGCCCCACAGTTGTTTACCTTTTTTAACATCAACTACTTCAGCAGCTGAGGCATGGTGTGCCATGATGGGATAACCTGAATGCATCCAGCCTTAACAGAAGAAAAATACATGACATTTTGTTTTCCTGCCTCTTTCACCTACCAGAATTGACACATGTCAGTTCCCAAATCCCACCCTTTGCCAGATCATCTTGATCTTGTTGTATGTGAGTAATCCAGTAGTCTCTACTTTAGTTGATATTCCTCATCCTTTCTTTGTATATATATTTTGTTTTCTAGAAATCTTTGCATCCTCTCATCAACAGAGTCAAAAACAAATATAAAAATGTATCACACTGAGCATGAACATGATGTTTTAGTTAAATTGTTTGTCATCCACAGTGAGTTGGGACTAGTTTCATGTCCTTGGGAGTCAAAGTGCACTTACCAGCAGAAATCTGCACATCTGTCACAAAGCGCTCCTTGTGGGGAAATTTGTGTGATTTGGCAGCCAGATCCGCAATGGCCCTCATGATTTCATCCCAGAGAGCAGCCACCTCCTCGGGGTGCTCCAGACCCCGAACAACATGTGATGGTACGGTGAGGACGATGTTTTCAAACTCCAACTCTGTCCAGGGCCCAGGAGCCGTGCGCAGCGTTAACCATTCAGCTGCAGTTGTTGCACCTGAAAAGAACAAAGAGCGATAGAGATAGAGCAGATCTATTAAAATGCTTTGAATTACTGCATTTTAAAAAATATAAACATTTTCTATAGTATCTGTATTTTGTATTTCTGTAATTTTTCAGCGTCACATATGCATTTGATTACACCCTTCAAACAGCCTTTAAAGTTTTAAAACAGGCTTTTGTGTAAAGCTGAAGGCTTTGAATAATAAGAATTAAGCAAACCTTGTACACTGTTTTAGACGAGAGGGTTAAGCTGTTAACTAGATTTTTGTTTACTTTTCTTTACTTAACTTTCAACATGTTGAACTGAAATTGTTTCACCTGCATCGTCCATTGAAAACACTTGGGATCAGAATGAAGGTGATCCAAGTGAATAAGATTAAGACTTATCAGATATCTTCCATTAACTCCATGGACATAAAGTACACAGCACTGTTATAAACCACAGACTTACCAGACTTGTAATATGGAACAGTTACAGCTTTCTGCACTATGATCTCCAACCCCTTCACTTGTGTGTTGGGTGGGGCCACCAGGTAGATGAGCCCCCCCCACAGGTTGGACACATGCATCATCTCTGATGTAACAGGAAATCGCTCATGAACACGTGGTGGTCTCTTCAGCTCATCCTTGTCATGTAGGTCATCAGTTTGACAGCCTATCTGAATCTGTAGATAAAATGGAAAATCTATTGGATTTAGCGTCAAATTACAACACCCGTCGCCTTTGCAAACAGCCCCATTCCTGAATACAGAGTGCATTCAGGAATGATTTACAAAGCAGTTGTCATGATTACATTTTCTTTCTTGTGGTGTGCTATTAGTTTCCTGTGTCAATATCGTCCAATCAAGTAAGAGATTTCAGGGATGGTTTGAGCTGTTAAATGACAGAAAAAAATCAAGTGGGGCTGGTCCTTTAGATTGAATGAACCTTTGCTGCAAACAGGCAGAACCTAAGGGGCTGTTGCGGCACGCCACGCAGCACAACACAGCATAACTCAACACTCCCAAAAGCTTCAAAACAGAGCTTCACCTGTGGGTGATGTCATGGTCGTTACATCAATCTTTGAAATGGCTGAAACTACAAATGGACCTTGTTACAGTTACAAAGGGTAAAAAGGAGTCATGCAAACCTCACTTGAGGTTTTCATGAACATGTAGTGTCATCAGAAGGAGAAAGACCTTTAAATTATACAATTTTGTAGGTTTCACCTTCCACTCCTTGTTGATAATCTCAGTTGGCATCACCATGTAGGTACTCATACAAGGAGAGAGGTAGAGACCAGTGCTGATCCACTCTTCCCCATCTAAAACACACACACACACACACACACACACACACACACACACACACACACGCACACAAATTTGAAAAAAAAAGTGTCACTGGGCGTCTATCTCTGAGAGAGAGAAATTTGTGGGGGAGAATCCGTTTCTGTGTCATGTGGGATCGGAAGTTAGGGATTTGACTAGTGAACACTACGAGTTCCTACAGACTTAGTAGATAGAAACTGTGGATTTTCTCTTGCTTGAAGATTTTGTAAGCAGTTATCAAATCACTTGGACTGTAAATAAACTCACTGAATCTGACCCACTAAGTTTTGTGTTTGAGTGTGGCTTGCACACTGGTTGTGACATATTCACAGTTGACACATTTGTCCACAAACATGAAATCTGACCTGCTGTGGTAACATCGATCTTGAGCCTGTGGTTATAGACGTCTGGCATCAGTGGCCTATCCTTGATGAGGTAGGGCAGGAGGGCCTCAGGATTTAGGCAAAACTCATATACAGGTGATCCCAAACTGAGGAGTAGATGGTCTTTTGGCGTCTTTGCAGGGCAGCTGTCACTCACCTTGAAAGAAGAACATATTAGTGTAACATCTTAGTGGTTAACAGCTGCCATATAATCATCAGTGCACTAGTCTGTGCTGTTCAAATGTTTTTTCTCTACTCACCTGTGGCAGGCCTGACCTCTTTAACATATCAGTGAGTGCAGCCAACACTTGAGTGTAATAGAAGCAGCCACGTGCCTTTGTGCGCAAATAAGCATCACAGTCATTGCCCAGCTTTTTAAGACATCCCTCCTCATGCTTGCTAAGTTCTACACCTGTAGTCACATGGGCAGCAAAGCGGTGTAGAAGGTGGCGGAAGTGGTAAGTATCTTTAATCGGCCAGCTGGGTACAAAGGCTTTGTATGTTCCTGCACGGATTGTTTCTCCTAACAGGCTCAATCCCATTTGGTTCAGGATCTTGTTCCCTGAAAAAAAGTAAAGCCAGTTTGACTTTGAGTCATGTGGTTGGAAATGTCTTGACTTTGTTTTTGACCACTAATGAGAAGACTCCTTTTTGATCCTTGACTTATCACAACATATCACACCTTATAATGTATAAGTCTGTTACAGCACTGCATGTATACAACACATTTTACACATGGACAATTAGGTGGAAAATAAGAACACTACCAGTATTTCTACTCTGTATATTTTGAAACCCTTGTGGTGCATTTTCATACCTGAGAAATCTGTAAGTGGATTTTGCCCAGCATGTGTCTGTGCCCAGTACCAGGCATGTCCTCCAATCAGCAGGCCTCCTCCCTCTGCCACAAAGTTTTGAATTTCCTCCAAATGCTCAGTGATATACGCTGTACACACAAACACGCTGAGGTCTTTCCTGAAGTTTGTCTTCTCGCACTTCAGCCCAGACTCACTCAGAACTTTGAGTGCAGGATCCACCATGACACCAACAACCCCTCTGCGCCCTTCATCCAACCAGTGAATGGCGTTTCTCCAAAATGGAGCCATACTCTAAAATCAAAGGAAAGCAGCAGCAAAGGAAGTCATGGATTTGGTGATATATCAAAGACAAGTCCAATCAGCACACATTTCACTTCAATCATCCTGAGGTCTAATACCTAACCCTCTAAAGATTTTGACTTTGAAATTTTATGACTAACATTTAATGTTGACTCTACCTCAACTTCAAGACATCTTTCATGTGTAACCACAAGGACTCGTCCTCGCCCATAGTAGGCTCCTGCCAGGAATGGTCGTCCATCTTCTGTAGTGCCGATGGGAAAGGCTAGTGGGCTGTGGACTAGAACCTCAGAACACAGATACTCAGAGGGGAGGTTGAATTCTGAAACCCCCTGGAGTAAGAACCCCAAGTCATCCTTGAAATCCCTGCCTGTCCTGTATTTGAAAAGTGGAATAGAAAAGTGACATGTGCAGAATTAAAGTGATTTAAGAATAATTGTACACATTTCTTCATATAAAAAAAAATTAGTGGTTTGTAAATTAACCTATTTGTGAAAACTATATAAACTCTGTAAAAATAAACTGTCACGATCTGAGGGGACAGACCGTGCGGGGGATGTGTGTGGTGGACCCAGGTGCGAACACAAGAGAGTAGACCGAAGTAAACTTAAACTGAAAGCGAGCCTTTATTGTGGCTGATGACAGGTCTCAACACAAAGCAGAAACACCGTGACTAAACTGAACCTAAACTAAACTGGGAAACAGATACTGATAAACTAAGGAGACTCAGAAAACCATGACGATGATCAAAGGAGCTTGCAAAGAAAAGCGTCTGGACTTCTTTAAGTTACTTGAAGACGTTTCACCTCTCATCCGAGAAGCTTCTTCAGTTCTAAGGTCAAATGACGATGATGTACAGACTGGCCGGGAGGACATGGAGGGTGGGAACACAGACGACGTGACACAGACTGTATGAAACACAGAGGCTGTGTCCCAATTCAGGGTCTGCACGCTTGAAGTATGCGCACTACGCGTACTACGTACGGTGCGTACTATAAGTACGAGAAGTGCGGAAGTGAGAGGCTTGTGAAATGGGACGGTATACGCTTCGTCGCGCTGTTCAGGTTGCCTAGCAACCATGTTACTAACCGCGAGACACGTGACATACAGCATTGTTTGACAGAAATGAAGGAGAAAAATGTTTTGTTGGTCATTCATTTTTGTCATGACATCACTTTGATTAGTTGAGTATCTGAGGCTGAGACCACGGGACTGTAAAACATGATTGTTGGGCTTCACTTCTGTGCTGAACAGTCATTTAAGATTAGTTAGTAAATAACAATTAGTTAATGTTGTTCATGAGACTAAAGTCATCTCACTGTGGTAATGTAAATATAATATGGCCAATATTATAGTATTGTCAGATTATTATGATATATCTATCTACATCTATCTATCTATCTATCTATCTATCTATCTATCTATCTATCTATCTATCTATCTATCTATCTATATATATATATAAAAAACACCCAGCACGCCCCTGCGGGCGGTTTATCCTTCAAGCTCGGGTCCTCTATCAGAGGCCTGGGAGCTTGAGGGTCCTGCGCAGTATCTTAGCTGTTCCAGGACTGCGCTCTTCTGGACAGAGATCTCCGATGTTGTTCCCGGGATCTGCTGGAGCCACTCGCCTATCTTGGGAGTCACCGCACCTAGTGCTCCGATTACCACGGGGACCACCGTTACCTTCACCCTCCACATCCTCTCGAGCTCTTCTCTGAGCCCTTGGTATTTCTCCAGCTTCTCGTGTTCCTTCTTCCTGATATTGCTGTCATTCGGAACCGCTACATCGATCACTACGGCCGTCTTCTTCTGTTTGTCTACCACCACTATGTCTGGTTGGTTAGCCACCACCATTTTGTCCGTCTGTATCTGGAAGTCCCACAGGATCTTAGCTCGGTCATTCTCCACCACCCTTGGGGGCATCTCCCATTTTGACCTCGGGACTTCCAGGTTATACTCGGCACAGATGTTCCTGTACACTATGCCGGCCACTTGGTTATGGCGTTCCATGTATGCCTTGCCTGCTAGCATCTTGCACCCTGCTGTTATGTGCTGGATTGTCTCTGGGGCATCTTTACACAGCCTGCACCTGGGGTCTTGCCTGGTGTGATAGACCCCAGCCTCTATGGATCTTGTGCTCAGAGCTTGTTCTTGTGCTGCCATGATTAGTGCCTCTGTGCTGTCTTTCAGTCCAGCTTTGTCCAGCCACTGGTAGGATTTCTGGATATCAGCCACCTCCTCTATCTGCCGGTGGTACATACCATGCAGGGCTCTGTCCTTCCATGATGGTTCCTCGTCTCCCTCCTCTTTCTTGGGTTTCTGCTGCCTGAGTATCACTGAGCACTCGGTCAGTTGGGGCCATCTATTATATTATATATTATATATATATATATATATTATATATATATATTATATATATATATATAATATATATATATATATATATATATAATTATATATATATATATATATATATATAGGAATGCTACTACGCAAGTAACCCCGGCGGAAGGGGCTACGTGAATAGGATGAGGGACCTATGGATTCTTGATACCCAACATCCACAATGACGGGCGAACAACTAGTAGCTCAGTGTTCCAACATTCGAAAGAAGGGACTGCTCTCACAGCTAGAGATTGACGAGGTACAACACAATCTACGGCAAGGAGGAGTCAGGACGCCAGTCAGGGGGAGATATCATCACCCCACCCGAGATTGGGTACATAGCCCCAAGTGCGATAGGAGAAGGATTGTTGAGTGCGATAGGAACTGACCTGAAAAATAGGATCATGGCCAAGCTTGAAACCTGGATCCCCCGTAGCCGGTTACCAAGATTACGTGACGTACCCTCAGAAGGTCTGCTAGATGATGTTAATGCAGCACTACGGACAATACCTACAACCACGATTACCGACACTAACAGCTGATCTACAATACGCAGCATGATCAGTGAGATGCTTGGCTACAAGTTGAACAGCCACAAGGGGCAGTACCCTCCATGGAGAAGGAGGCTAGAGGGCAAGATCAAAGTAGCACGGAGGGAGGTTAGCCAACTAACTGAGTTGCAGAAAGGTGCGACAAAGAAGGTGCATGAGAAATACAGCAAGCTGTCCATACCTGAGGCCTTGGAAACTGCCAAGCAAAGACTCACAGCCTTGGCCAGCTGCTTGAGGAGGTACACCAGAGAGATAGAAGGCAGGAGAATAAACCAGCTGTTCTCCACAGAACCAGCAAAGGTGTACTCTCCGTGGCAAGGGAACATATAATAAGAGAACAGCACCACAAGGCTGGAGACGGAGCAATACTGGAAGAGCATATGGGAGAAGGACGCAACCCATAACGGCAATGCTCAGTGCTAGTGGATCTGAGGCAGACCACAGCGACCCCCTGAACAGGGTCCAGTAACCATCACAATGGCAGATATCCAAGAAAGGGTCTCCAGTATGAAGAGTTGGACAGCACCAGGGCCCGACATGGTTCACGCCTACTGGCTGAAGAAGCTGACTGCACTCCACGAGCGTCTGGCAGCACAAATGAACCAGCTGCTAGTTAACGAGAGACACCCGGAATGGCTAACGAAGGTCGGACGGTCCTGATCCCCAAGACCCCAAGAAGGGACCGGTCCCCTCCAACTACCGACAATAACCTGCTCAGTATACATGGAAGCTCCTGTCAGGCATCATATCGGCTAAGATGAACAGCACATGGGTCAATACATGAGCGGGACACAGAAGGAATTGGCAAGATACCAGAGGCGCAAAACACCAGCTACTGGTAGACAGAACAGTCCAGCCGGACTGCAAGACCAACTGTGCCACTGCCTGGATTGATTAAAGAAGGCCTATGACTCAATGCCCACAGCTGGATACTGGAATCCTAGAATTGTACAAGATCAATGGACCTAAGAGCCTTCATCAGGAACTCAATGGGGATGTGGCGTACAACACTAGAGGCCAACTCCAAGCCCATATCACAAGTCACCATCAAGTGCGGGATCTACCAAGGAGATGCTCTGTCCCCACTGCTGTTCTGCATAGGCCTGAACCCCCTCAGTGAGATCATTACAAGACTGACTACGGATACCGACTACAGAACGGAGCAGTTGTCAGCCACCTCCTGTACATGGATGACATCAAGCTGTATGCCAAGAGTGAACGAGACATTGATTCACTGATCCACACTACCAGGCTATACAGCATGCATTGGAATGTCGTTCGGACTGGAGAAGTGTAGTCGGATGGTAACAAAGAGAGGGAAGGTAGTCAGAACTGAGGGGATCAAACTACCAGAAGGCAACATTGCAGACATAGAGGACAGTTACAAGTACCTGGGGATCCCGCAGGCGAATGGGAACCATGAAGAGGCCGCTAGAAAAGCTGCAACCACCAAGTACCTGCAGAGGGTCAGGCAAGTCCTGAGGAGTCAGCTGAATGGTAAGAAGAAGATCCGGGCCATCAACACGTACGCCCTGCCCGTGATCAGGTACCCTGCTGGGGTAATAGGCTGGCCAAAGGAGGAGATAGAAGCCACTGACATAAAGACAAGAAAGCTCCTTACCATGCATGGAGGGTTTCACCCCAAGTCCAGCACCCTGAGGCTGTACGCTAAGCGGAAGGAAGGGGGCCGGGGACTGGTGAGTGTCAGCACCACAGTCCAGGATGAGACAACGAACATCCAAGAATACATTGGGAAGATGGCCCCAACTGACCGAGTGCTCAGTGAATACCTCAGGCAGCAGAAACCCAAGAAAGAGGAGGGAGACAAGGAACCATCATGGAAGGACAGACCCCTGCATGGTATGTACCACAGGCAGATAGAGGATGTGGCTGATATCCAGAAATCCTACCAGTGGCTGGACAAAGCTGGACTGAAAGACAGCACAGAGGCACTAATCATGGCAGCACAAGAACAAGCTCTGAGCACAAGATCCATAGAGGCTGGGGTCTATCACACCAGGCAAGACCCCAGGTGCAGGCTGTGTAAAGATGCCCCAGAGACAATCCAGCACATAACAGCAGGGTGCAAGATGCTAGCAGGCAAGGCATACATGGAACGCCATAACCAAGTGGCCGGCATAGTGTACAGGAACATCTGTGCCGAGTATAACCTGGAAGTCCGAGGTCAAAATGGGAGATGCCCCCAAGGGTGGTGGAGAATGACCGAGCTAAGATCCTGTGGGACTTCCAGATACAGACGGACAAAATGGTGGTGGCTAACCAACCGGACATAGTGGTGGTAGACAAACAGAAGAAGACGGCCGTAGTGATCGATGTATCGGTTCCGAATGACAGCAATATCAGGAAGAAGGAACACGAGAAGCTGGAGAAATACCAAGGGCTCAGAGAAGAGCTCGAGAGGATGTGGAGGGTGAAGGTAACGGTGGTCCCCGTGGTAATCGGAGCACTAGGTGCGGTGACTCCCAAGCTAGGCGAGTGGCTCCAGCAGATCCCGGGAACAACATCGGAAATCTCTGTCCAGAAGAGCGCAGTCCTGGGAACAGCTAAGATACTGCGCAGTACCCTCAAGCTCCCAGGCCTCTGGTAGAGGACCCGAGCTTGAAGGATAAACCGCCCGCAGGGGCGTGCTGGGTGTTTTTATATATATATCTATATACATCTATATATAGATATATATATAGATATATATAGAGAGATATATAGATATATATATAGATATACACACACACACACACACACACATATATATATATACACACATATACATATATCACTGACTTTCAGCTTGTTGTGTTTGTGGATATATGACTGACTTTAATTATTAAACATTCGCACATAAATAAGTGATGTCATATTCAGTACTTTTGACAGTTCACTCTTCGGCCGCTCCATCTTATTAGGGAAATTCCATATACATAAATGTAAATTTCAAAACTCAACCCCATCATTTAATTTGTTTTTGATTGAAATTGAATATTACTTAAACTCTCTTACTCTAACTTCCAATAAAAAAGGTTTATTATTGATTGAAATTAATTCAGAAATGTTTAACGAATGAGCTGTCACAACTTTCAAGTACAAAGTTGTTATGAAGTCTGTCACATTCCCCCCCTTTTTGTCTTTTTTCTTTTTTTTCCCTTTATTTATTTATCCTTCTTATTTCATTGTACTGTATATTGTTACTCTTATTTGCCTTGTATGTCTACTGTACAAACTGAACTGGAATGACTGACTGTTCGCTTTATAATTTCAATGAAGTTTGGAAAAAAAAAACAAACCTCTCCGACCGCTCCATTCTGCCGTATTTTGCGGCAAAATTCTCCACACCCACCGCCGCGCTATGAATTGTGGGATATATGGGACCACGAAGCGTGCACCGGACCATGCTTGATATTTGGGGAAATCGACGGAGCATTTGGAGTATGCATTTGAAGTACACTTGGGTTGGGACAGCCGTCGTTGCGTGGCGGTGACGTAACTGCATTTAAAATGCGTACTTCAAGCGTACAGACCCTGAATTGGGACACAGCCAGAGACTAAATACACATGAGGGATGATCAGGGGAAGTGGCCACACATGGGAGCACAGCATGACACACATGAACCAAACGACAGGACAGGAGAAGTGAAACTGAATACACTGACATTGAATACAGACTTTCAAAGGAAAAAACAGGAAACATGGAGATTAGACATGACATGAATTAAACATAACCACGCAGACATGACGCATGAACCAGGGAGACTTAGTACAGGGGGAGATGACATAAACAACTAAGGAACAAAGGACTAAACAGAAATCTCAAAATAAACTGGATGAGCTAAACTAGGGCACAAATGAATACAAAAGATACATAAAACTCAAACACTGGGTCGCTCGACCCAGGAACATGACATAAACTGACTTTTCTGAAAAGATAGAGTCACACACACACACACACACACACACACAAACTAAGTCCTTTGATGGACTTTTGTGGATGATCCTCCCCTCATCCAAGATCCAGGAATGCTGGGAGGGGAAGATCCCAATATAAATTAAATTAGCTAATAAAGAAATGGTATCAGTCCCAAATTTAACCTTAGGAAGAATCTTTCAATGAGAGAAAAACTGTTTTCAAAAGCTCAAAAGGTCACACAAAATTTAAAGTTATTATATGGAAAGTGGAACTTTTGTAAACGTGCAGTAAAACAGAGCTATATAGAATACTCACGCTAATGACTTCCAGGAGGACGGGATCTGAGGGTAGACGGGCAGGTTCTCCGCCTCACCATAACGCTCAGTGAAGTAGATTCCTGCCACTCCTGCCACTTTATTCCCATCAAACTGATGCAGTGTGTTCTCTTTGGGGTGAGTTGCAGCCCAATGCCACGCCTGCCCAGCTATCAGCACCCCTCCTCCAGCTTTCAGAAACGCCACCAGCTCTGTTGGGTCTGAGCCCACACTGTAGGCATCGGTCACATAAACACCAACTCCCAGTCTGTCACTGAAAGCTCCCACAACTTCTACTTGGAAGCTGGGTTTTTGGAGGTTATCAGCAACTGCACTGACTTTTCTGTGCACCCTTACAGAGAGGTTATCAGATCCATCACCTCTCAGCCAGGTCACAGCATTTTCTACCAGAGCAGGAAAGGTTGTCAAGTAGCCCTCATGACCCAGGACCACAATCCTTCCACTGCCGTACAGAGAGGCAGCCATCAGCACCTGACCTCGACTGTTCATTGCTACAGGAAAGGCATGGTCTCCGATCAGGACCAGGTCACTGGGAACATAGGGTCCCTGTAGGTCCAGCTCCTTCAGGCCTTTCATCAGGGAGGCGTAGGCCTCTTCATGTTGGTTTTTGAATGATTGGTTAGATGACATAGTGTAGAGGATTTACACTCTGTAGACTGATGAATAAGGTTAGGATGCAGAAAGAGGAAGTTGTTAACACATCAGGTTTAATCTCATTACAGCCAAATAGCTGAAAGTTTCCTTCTGTGGTATTACGCTGTGGCCCAACAGTTTAAGAGAAACACACTCTACGTGACAGGACAAGAGAAAGAATAAAAATGAAAGCAGAGAATGGAGCTGGTTATACAAGGTTATGTGCTAAGGAGGAAAAAGCAAGGGGAGGGACCACTGATAAGACACAGCTCCTTTTATCACCACTGGTGCAAAAAGTGACCATAAATGAATGTTTAATCAGAATATGACGTGTTCTCTGCAAATTGGCAAAGATCATTGTTTTAAAATGTATTTCCACTGAAAAAATGAAGAAAGGAAGTGTGTCACAGCTACTTCGGGGTTAGCAGGGAAGGAAAGAAAATCTTCCAAGAAGCAGGGGGGTTGGAAATCGCATCTGTAACCGGAAGGTCGCCGGTTCGATCCCTGGGCTCTCTGTCCTGGTCGTTGTGTCCTTGGGCAAGACACTTTACCCTACTTGCCTACTGGTGTTGGCCAGAGGGGCCGATGGCGCGATATGGCAGCCTCGCTTCTGTCAGTCTGCCCCAGGGCAGCTGTGGCTACAACTGTAGCTGCCGCCACCAGTGTATGAATGTGAGAGTGAATGAATAGTGGTATTGTAAAGCGCTTTGGGTGCCTTGAAAAGCGCTATATAAATCCAATCCATTATTATTTGGTTACAGTGGCAATTGTGAATATAACACACAATGAAAGTTGAGACAGGGTCCTACTGGTTTGGAGCATTTTCACAGAAACAAGTACCCCTTCAGACTCAGGTGATTGTCACTGCTGCCTCACTGTTATTTACCTAACTATTGTTATTTACACAAGATTTATGAATAGCCTTGAAAATGCCTCTCTTTGGAAATAAAATACTTCCCAAACTATTTCCACAGTTACAAAATTAAGAACAGAGTTGTGTGTATTGTTGTGTGTGAGTCTGTGTGAATGTAATAAACATGTTTCTTCCTCCATATTCTGAGGTGCATTCTCCTGAAGGAGTACATAGGTCAACCTTAACACATAAGAGATGTCTGTCTACTCAGTAAGGCAAAAGGAACCTGATTAAGTTTTATAACACTGGAGTCAACGTTTATACAAAAGCAAGTCTTTGACTACTTGAAAATCAAAAGCTAAGATGTATTCTGCAAAAATAAAAGGCTGTTCTTCACTGATCTCATTACAACCAAACACAACTTAAAAACACAACACTTTAGGGTTTTTGTGTTACCTGAAAGATGCCTTTCTGTTGTATTAGGCTGTAGAGATGAAAGACCAGGAGCTCTACGTGACTGAACAGGAGAAAGAATGCAATTCAGAGCAGGGAAAGGTGCTGCTTATATCAGGAGATACGCAAAACAGAGGACAAACATACAAGGGGAGTGACCACTGAAAGGAGGTGTGGAGCAGGGAAATTATTTTACTGCTATTGTTAAATAATAAATATAATCTGCAGCATGGATATTGCATTCAGGGGTTGAACAGTGTGTGTCTTTCAGAAAGGCTAAAAGTCACAGGCTGACAGGAAACAGGCTTGCAGAGAGTTTGCAGAAGTGAAAGTTTTTTGAGCAGCAGGCTAAGACGAGGCCTTAACAATGTAACAGATAGCTTTAAGATGGCCTTAAGATGTTTATGATGATGTTGACCTTGTATTTCAGGTGCAGTTATGACTATTTTATACACAATGCATATCTGTGCTTATTAAAGAGTTGGAGCTCGGTCAATTAATTGGGGGTTGGAAGCTTTGTTCGGCGCGATGTCCGGACAATCTATTGTGCAAGTGACTTGGAGCTATAGAAGGTTAAAACTGCGTACATGCTTACAAAACACTTATATCAGGTCATTTTATATTAAGGTTTTAGTAGAGGTTCTTGGTTAAAACATTTATTTAGTAGAAGACATACACATAGTCTCAGTGAGCCTCTGGTCTAGTGAAAGGTCAGAAGTGCAACAGGTGAATTGAGAAAGAGCATTTGAGGACGAGACACAGACAGTTAGTAGGTGAAGAGGTGACACAGAGAGCATGTGAGGTCGTGACACACACACATGAGTTAGATTTATTTAGAGGAGAGAGAGATTAGTCATGTCTGGATTGTAACGGTGAAAGTGTCTCGGTAAAAGAGGAACCGTCCTTGTCTTCTCGGCAAGAAAGAGGAACTGAAAGGTTGACCGGAGGAATCGGCCATGAAAATAGAAGATGATGTTCTGTGTTAAAAGTCATGGTTGTTTTGATATTGACGTATGTGTATATATCCTGTCTGTGACGCATGAAGGGGCGTCAGTAAATCAAGCCCTGATGGTATAAATATCTGTTCATGCTTTGATTAAGTCGGAGATCACTTGCTGTCTGCGTACAGAGTGTTCTTCCCACACGTGTGGTAGTCATTAAAATCATTGTTTGACCAAGATCTTTCTGGACCTGCTTGTTTGTACTCTCCTTCCTCAATTTTGAACCTTACAGAGGCATTTCTTTTTATGGCCACAGAGTCAAATGTTTATAAAGATTATAAATGTTATGTAAATATGAGAATGGGTAATGAGAACTTTGATGTGTTATATCCTCCTAAGAACCAACCTATCCATTTATGTCCTCTGTAATGGACATTTGTTTTTGGTCTATATCTTTTGACTTATTTAAGCTATCCTGCTAAGTCCCGATGTACTAAGTCCAGGACATCCTGGGCTTTCCATTGATATCTCATGTGTTTAGGTGACCTCTTTTATATTACATCATTAATTACAATCCATCACAGACCGATGTGTTATTTTTCTTTGCTATTTGAGTTTAAACTTCTTTCTGTTAGGCTCATCCACCAAAATCCTGATGGAGGCAGTGAGACACCCAGTGAGGTTGGCCGATGTGTAAATTCTTTCCAACCGACATTCGTCAGTCAGTTCAGCTTTCCATGGAAGACTGTACTTTATGCCGTTTAAAACCCACATGCCTCCAGAATGAAACATAAAACCAAAGCAGGTTAAGACAGAGTCCTACTGGCTTGGAGCTATTTCACAGAAACAAAAAGTACTTCCTTTTTACGCTCAGGTGTTCTCATTGTTCTCACTGCTACCTCACAGCACAGCCTGGTGGGTTGTTATTGACTGAAGATTTATGACTAGCCTTGAAAATGCCCCTTTAAACTAGTTCCCTGTAAGCATCATAGTTACAACAGCAACATGTTGCTGTTGTAACTATGACACACAGCAGTTCTTGTCTGTGTGTGTGTCTGTGTATAAAATGTAAATCTGCTTGGTCCAGCAACTAAAGGTCAAATCTTTCTGTGCAAAATAAAAGTGAATACATGAAAATCATCATTTTAGTCAATTCTGATCAGGTCAAGAGGTCACACGAAAGTGGTTATCAGGTTTTTAAGGCAACTCAGGGTTTCCAAATCTACCTATGATGTAGTTAGAACAGGTGTTGGTGTTGCTGCATATGACAAAACAATGAAATACTGTGTGACTGTGTGATCGAGAGACCTTTGACCTTATCCTGCCAATACTCCTTGTAGCTGAGGATACTCCTTATTCTTTATCAGTAAACAAACAAAAAAAGGATGTTTGTCTTTTCATTAGATCAGACACAACCTGCTTAAGTCTAATTAGACTCACGTCAAAGTTAATACAAAAGCAATTCTTTGACGTATTAAAAGTCTAAAGCTTACATGTATCAAGTTTAGAGTCTTTAGAAAAAATGACCTGTGAACAGCCAAGAGACACCAAACAAATGAGACCCAGTGTTAGTCTGTTTTACACTACACATCATCCCTGTGTTGCGTGACATTAGTGCATGTAGCAAAAGCTTAATGGGCATTTTTCCTCTTGTCTCCAACATAAATGGAATAGACACGAAAGAACATACACAGAAGGACAGAAACACAGAACTACAGTTATTTGGTCAAACTACTTTTTCAGCAAACACATCTAAAGATGCACAGACACTTTACACTCTGCTGTGTATGTCTGTATGTGCTCAGTCCAATGTTTAACAACTAAAGGTCAAATCTTTCTGTGCAAAATGAAAAGAAGTATAAGTAAAGGCAATTGTGCAAAACCTGACATGGAAATCATCAATTCAGCAAATATTTGTCAGGTTAAGAGGTCAAACGAAGGCGGTTATCAGGCCAATGACTCAACCAACGGTTTCCAGTTGTAGCTATGAGTGTTCACATGGGCGTTGGTGTTGATGGATGTGTTTGATGAATCATTAACATCAATGGGTCAGCTCAGAGTATAGTGACATATTTTGAGAAGACAGTCAAACTATGACATCTTGTGTTACTTCATCTTATGGTGATATCTTCATCTTAAGAATGGACAGGTGTCCATTTGTCTGTCTGCAGCAAGAATCTGAGAAAACCTGGGCAGAAACAAGATTTTGAAAACACTGGAATGATCTTTAAAATGCTGTGACTGGCATTCAAAATATCTTTATTTTTCCTCTAACTTCTTCTTTATTTTTTGCATCACTTTCAACTTTTCAACAGAAAATGCCTGCTGACCTCTCAGCTTTCCCAGCTTAAGTCATTGTTAAGGGTAGAGGGACACACCTGTATATGAACACAACTACAGTTTTTTATGAGATTGACCATAAGCACAGTTTTCATTGACTGTGATAGCCAACTGTGGCAACATTTTGGGAGTAATGTAAAGGCTGGATGCACAGATGAATTGAAAGGTGAGAAGCTTTACGACAGCTCTTTCTGAGATAAGAAGAGAGATAGATTGCTTTACTCTGGTTACATTTAGTTTTTTTTAGTTTTTTGCAAGAACTTCTAGAAGAGGATGGAGGCTGTAGGAGCAAGAGGCTTTTATCCGAGTGGGCAGACAGTATTACGGTGAATGCAAAGTGTGAAGGTGGAGCTGAGGGGTGGTGCCTCAGCAATTTGAGTCCTGCAGATGATTTTGTCACTAATGAATTTATTTAAAAGTTTTATTTACAGATTATTTAAAGCTTATTTACACAGACTCAGTAACTGTTCTCATTTCTTTCACTGTTTCTCTGAGCTGTTCAGCTCAGCACTCGGGTTCTTTTGTAGTATCCACATTAAATTCAGGAGGACACTCTTCAACTCCGTAAGTCACGTCCACGTGAAGGCGGCCGTCTTCATCAGTAGACATAATCATGGTGGGACGGTTCAGTCTCTCCCATAGCTTCTTCTTTATGAGGCGTCCCAGCTCCAAACTGTATGGATGGAGCTGTCCGTTCTCGTCTCTGTGAGGAACAGAAGAAATAGAAAGTTTTGAGCCATTTTTTTTTTTGTCGGGCGGGGGACAAAAGGAGGTTTGATCCACACTGACCTCAGCATATCATCAACCACTTCATGGTACACCTGCTGGTACTCTTCTACTGAGCGGTTGTGGATCTTTAGAGGGCTGTCTGGCCGAGGTGCAACAGTAGAGGGTCGAAGATTGTGGGCTGTATTTGAGACCGGAGGCAGCTCAGAATTAGGGATGGTGGCTGATGGTCTTGTGAACGTGTCGTCTGCATCTGAGGTAGAGGCCTGAGGGGTGGAAGACATATAGCTATCATTTATTTGTTATCAATTTAGCACCACTGCAGAAAGTCTAGGACAGACAGACAACCTTGGTTTTCCTCCTTTTCTGGGGAAGGATGACTGCATTTGGAGAGCGCTGGCGTTTCACTTGCGTGTGCTGTAAGTGGAAACAGGCAGTAAGACACAAGAACATCCGTAAGAACATCCTTTAACAATCCTGCAGAGACAAATCTCCATCAGATACATTGACCACTCTCACAGGAGATCACCCTCAAAAATTTGCCAGATCTTAAGATGTAAGAAGAGATTTAAAACATGAGCTGTGCTATGTTGCTACTCATGATTTGATGGAAAGTAAACAAGTGTTGTAAATGAATCAAACAAGCAGAGTAGCATCGTTTCTAATATATTCACGTATTTTATCATTTAACATATGAGAATCAGATGTGTAACCTGCTCATCCTTGAAACACTGACACGGTCTACAGGCTCCAGGCTTTCTCCTCCTCTCTGATAGCCGTGCAGAGACTCTCTTTGCTGTGAGGCTGTCTTGGACTTCAGCAGCACACTGCAAAATTTCATACACATCGGAAAAAAGCCTTTCTAACACAGCATATGTAATAATGTCAGTTTTAACATATTTCTTGCAACTAAATTGGATTTTCTGGAAGACTGAACACCACAGTGTTCTCCTGCCACCTAAAATTTACATGCAAACAGCAGTTAAGTAAAACTTTAGCTAAATACAAAATATCAGGTTATAGTATTTCAGATTCACAGGTTGACTTGTT